TAGATGAGGACAAACAAACTGAAATGCAATCTAGAGGAGACTGAAGTGCTGTTTAATAGAAAATGTTGTGGTCTTCGTTTAAAAATTAACCTCATTCTAGAGCAAATTGAGTAATTGTTACATAGGATGAGAAACAAATCCTTGGCCCAGATCCCCACTTGCAGGCCCAGTTAATGACAGTGGGCAGAAATGTATTTAATCAGTTCCATCAGGCATGTAGCCGGGGCGGGGGGGGGGGGGGGGAGGCTTGAGGGGCTTCAGCCCCCCCCCCTCCTGAAATTCTCATGGTGGTTCACGAAAAGGCCTTACTGGTGCATTATTTAAACTGTTATGTTTATTCATATCATGATCTCAATATATACTCAATATATCCCATATGCATGGGGGTATTGGGGTAATGATACAAAAGTATGCTAGGCTAGACCCTCTTTCACTCAGACTCAGCCCCCCCCCGAAACTCAGCCCCCCCCCGAAACTCCCCCTGAAAAAATTCAGCCCCCCCCCCAAACGAAACCCTGGCTATGGGCCTGAGTTCCATCGAATACACCAAGTGACCCTTTCTTGGTGATCTAGGCTAGACTGCAATATTTTATTTCATGTGGGGACTCCTCTTGAAAGCATTTGAGAAAGGTCCAGAATACAACTGGAATGTTTGTGACTGTCACTGCTCATTAAGACTAAATGATATCAACCATCTTTTGAATGTATTGATCATCAGTTTACTTTAAATATCACTTCAAGGTGCTGACTTTAACCTTTAAGTGAATTTTAATCAGGCTATCTTGAAAATTAAAGGCCCTCCAAACCACAGTGCCATCTCATGTAAGCATGCTGAAGTTGGTTGATTTATTTATGTGTCAGTAGCGAATTGTGAATACAGTTATACTTCATAAAAAAAACCACAAACAAAGTGAAAAACTAGACATTATACTAAATTTCCTTTGAACAGAAGCTGGCCACTTGGAGTGCCTCTGGTGTCTCTGTAAGAAGGTCCTCCATTGTGCATGTGGCAGAACTCAGGCTGCATTATAGTAAGTGGTCTATGGTTTGCACTTCTCCATACTCACATCTCGTGGACTCTTGGTAGCTCCATTTCTTAAGAGGAGGCTCTACATTTTGTGATGCCAGAGCATAGCCTGTTCAGTGCCTTCCAAGTCACCCAGTCTTTTGTATGCCCATGGGAGTTTCTCATCTGGTATCAGCTACAGATTGAGGTTCCGGGTTTTAGCCTGCCACTTTTGGACTCTTGCTTGCTGAGGTGTTCCTTGATGCTTGCTGAGGTTGATGGAACCTACTGACTCTGTGAATTTCAGCTGCTGCCTGAGGTCAAGAGTGTTTGTACCTGCTTGAAGGAGGGTCTCCATTCATCCTCCTTCTCAATTGCTTGGTTTTGAGAGGACAATGAAGATGATGACTTTATCTAAGCAGGATTTGATAAAATCTTTACTGGGCATTCTTAGTTTGTAACTGTTTAAAGGTGTTTTTTTAATCTTGTTTCTATAACAGTGGTTTTCTTTGGTAGGCTGCCTTCTGTACTTTTAGTAAAAACAAAATAGCAGGGGAAAATATTGATGGAGCGCATGATACTTTGCCTCCTGTGTTCCTGACTATAATGAATTCTTGGTGCCATATCTATTCAGATTGTCCCAGTCAGTATGGAACCAGTGTTTGTCACAATGATATATGAAATATATTTAAAGAAACAGGCAAAATAAGTCATGTATCAACAATTTCTGGCTATTGAACCAGAATAATTGATTGTGAAAACAGCCTTCTCTAGCCTGATGCCTTCATTGGACAAAAATTTCTCAGAGGATCCACATTTTCTACTTACCCTGTTTAAAATCTGGAAATAGGATTGTACATGTTGTCTAGATAATGATTTAACCTAAACCTAGAAATAGCATTTATTTTCTGAGTGTTAAAAGTAATACACATTTAAATTCAAGCAACAAAATGGATTGCTTGAATATCAGCATGTGTGTCTTTAAGTCACCTATTGATTGTTGATGATCCCATGAATTTTACAAGGTTTTCTTAGGCAAATAGGCAAGAAGTCCTTGGTCAAAGTGGTTCCTGGTCAAAGTGGTCCCTGGTCAAAGTGGTCTCTGATCAACATAGTCCCTGGTGAAGTAGTCCCTGATCAAGTGGTTGCTGGTCAAGTGGTTCCTGGTCAAAGTGGTTCCTGGTCAAAGTGGTCCCTGGTCAAGTGGTCCTGGTCAAAGTGGTCCCTGGTCAAGTATCCCTGGTAAAAGTGTCCCTGGTCAAGTGGTCCCTGATCAAGTGGTTGCTGGTCAAATGGTGCCTGGTCAAGTGGTTCCTGGTCAAAGTGGTACCTGGTCAAAGTGGTCCCTGATCAAGTGGGCCCTGGTCAAAATGGTCCCTGGTCAAGTGATCCCTGGTCAAAAAAAGGTTGGGAACCACTGATCTGCACAATTGAATAAATGTAGTTTGATTCCACTTTATGTTATGGAATCCTGAGAGTTGTAGTCTGAGGAGGCACCAGCCCTTTGTGGCAGATAAGCTGCAGAACTCCAACTCCCATGATTCTACATAGTACTGAGTCATGGATATTGATGTGATCTCAAAGGGCATTATTTCTAAAGCTTTAAGTGTCCCTGTGAGTTCCATCAGCATACCAATGGCTGGACGAGGATGGTGCTGTTTGCAGTCCGACACATGGGGGGGGGGGCACCCGGTTGGGGCAAGCTTCTTTACAATAGCCCAGTAAGGAGATGGACTCCCCATCCTTTCCTCTTTTGCCAGAGAGTGCTGCTGCACCATCAAACTTCTCCTCCTAGGAATCCATAGCCTTGAGCCGTGGCAGTAGTGCCAAACTGCATTATTCTTGCAGTGTAGATGCACCTTTAGGCAGGCGCCTGCTTCTCCCTCTCTCTTCCCTCCCTCCCTCCTCTTTGCTGGTTGCGTCAGACTCGCAGCACTTTGACGCGCCAAGCCGGGAAGGGAGCTGTCCAGCGGCGCTTGGTGCTGAAACTCATGCTGCGGCCCTGACTCTGCCCGCTCCCTTCTCTCGAGCTCTCTCGCTTCTCACCTCTACCATTGCGTGTCTTTTGGGAGAGTCTAGGGAAGACCTCCCTTTCTCCCAGCCCCGGGGGCGGAGGGGGGGAAAAAGCCAGGCTGGGCAGCAACAACCTTTCCCTTTCCAAGCCCTCTCTTACTCCGCCTCTTCCCGCTTTATTTATTTAAGGATAGACGAGGAAGGGAGGGGGAAGAGGAGGAAGGGGAAAACGCCACGTCCCACCCCTCCCTTCTTCCCTCCTTCCACATCCCCCTCCTTTCCCCTCGTTTGCGCCGCAAAACTCTCCTCCTTTCCCATTGCCTCCCAAGGAGGTAGCAACAGCCACATCATCGGATGGGCGAGAGGAGGAGGAGGAGGAGAAGAAGAAGGCGGCGGAGGAGGAGAGGCACCAAATCCCCAAGCGAAAGGCCTCCTCCTCCTCCTCTTCCTCTTCCCTACATCCTGCTTTTGTCTTCCTAAGCCAGCCTGCTGTCCTGCTTTCTCCGCCCAGCGAGGAGGGCCCCACCGTCGTCGGCGTTGTTGTCAGCCTTCCTCCCTTTCGTCGTCGTCGTCCTCTTCTTCTTCCTCCCCCTTCGATGCCCGAGCCCTGCCATGGTTGAGCGTCAATGCCATTGAGCGAAAACAACCGTCAGAGAAAGAGGAGGAGGAGGAGGAGGAGAAAGAGGAGGAGGAGGAGAAGGAGGAGGTGGAGGAGCGGGGGGAAGGAGGAGGAGGAAGAGGAGGAAGAGGAGGGTGAAGCGGGTCGCCAAGGCCAGGCTTCCGTAGCCCCGGCGAGGAAGGCGCCCGGTCCTTCTTGGCTCCCCTCCAGCCTCTCAGTGCGTTTGGTGACGTCCCTGTTCGGTGGAAGGGAAGGCGAGGAGCGTGACGAGGGGGAGAGGAGGCCCGCCTTGCCTTCCCTTCCCTCCTGAAGCCCCTCTCTCTGCAGCCTCTTCCTCTGCGCCGCCTTCCTCGCCTCCCCTTCTTCTCCTCCTTCCACCTCAACGCTTTGGAGCAGCCTTCCCTTTCTCATGAGCGAGAAGGAGTTGAGGAAGAACTAAGACCCCTCTCCACGGTCTTTCCTCCCCATCTTCCTCTGTGGCGCCTCCTTTTCCCCTTCAGGAAGGAAAAACGAAGACCTCTCTCCTCATCGCCTCCTTTTTGGTGGGAAGATGTTGGTCTGCGGTCCAGAGAGTTCTCGGAACCGGAATCCAGCGCCTTTGGGAACCCGACTCCAGCTCCTTGAATACTTCCTTTCCGGACTTTGGGGATTTCTATGGAGAATATTTCCATTTTTCTTGAGGATTTAACCTCCGGAGGGTGTGTTCCCTCACTTTCCCAAGAAATTCGGGGGGGTTTTTGGCTCACGAACCGCGATTTTGATACTACGAACTATTTTTTTTCTTGCCTTTCTGACTCCTCTGCTCTGTTAGAAGCATATTTTTCCCCCAAACTGGATTTAAAAGCTAGTAATAAGAGGAAATACTTGACATGCCAAATACTGTTGTTGTCCTTTTGTAAAATGTATATATCCTTTCCACACTAAGTCTGCCGGGGACTTGAATCTCCCTTTCCTCTCCCCTTTGGAGTTACCGAGGCTTGGAAAATCCCCTCCAGGCTGTTTCCTTGAGCCCACCGAGCATGTTGGGTCTCGAAGCCTTGCTTCCCTTGAGATTTTGCGTTTGAAACAAACGAAAAGTTGAATTGTTAGCCTTCTTTTATATACAAGTAGACGCGGGGAAGTGGAGGAGGTTGAAAAGTCAACCCATTTTGGTGCTCAGGAGGAGGAAAACCAAGCATGTTGTTGGCTGCAGAAGCCCGGCTTCCCTTGAGATTTTGTGTTTACTTTTAAACAAGCTCAAAAAGTGGAATTTCTTTAAAGATATATATATAGTGGGGAAGAAAGAGAAAGTTGAAAAGTCAACACCCTTTTTGTGTGTAGGAAGGGACAATAAAGGAAACGTCGAGGTTGCTTGTAAAAGAAATCAAAAATTATTGTAATTGCTGAAGAGCTCCCTGCAAGGTGGGCTTGGTGTGTTTTGAGCCTGGCTCCAACGGCGAGGTCTCCCTGAGGCGCTTCTCGGCCGGGCCCCCTTGCTCTCGCGCGCCCCCTGCAGGCCGCCCGCCAGCCCGCCCGGCTCTTTCCCCCGCTCTCTCTCTCTCTCTCTCTCTCGCTCTCTCTCCCGCTCGGCGCCGCTTCGCCAGAGAAGGCCCATACATGTTCCTGCCACCCGGCGCGGTGGTCTTATGGTCCCTCTGCTCCGGACTGCCGCTGCTGCCCAGCCCCATGTTGCGCCCCCAGGGCCTCCTCAAGTGCCGCTGCCGCATGCTCTTCAATGACCTGAAGGTCTTCCTCCTGCGGAGACCCCCCGCGCCCCCGCCCCTCCCGCCCATGAACAGTGGCGACCCGGCCTCGGGCTGCTGCCAGGCGTCCAACAACAACACGCTCCTGCTCCATGGAGGGCGGCGGGGGCCCTGGAGGGCGCCGGGGGGCGCAGGGGGAGGCGGAGGGGCAGGAGGAGGGGCGGCGGGGGCCGGCAGCCCCCCCGAAGAGGAGTGGGGGGCCCCCGCGGGAGAGGGAGAGCCTCCCGTCTCCATGATGAGCAGCGCCTCCTCCGAGGACTTCTGCAAAGGCAAGGCGGCCGAGGACCGCTACTCCCTGGGCAGCAGCTTGGACAGTGGGATGCGCACCCCGCTCTGCAGGATCTGCTTCCAAGGGCCCGAGCAGGTGAGTGAGGGAGGAGGGAGGGAGGGGGCTCCCCGGGTCAGAGGGGGTCTTGGGAGCAAGGGAGGCAAAGGGTGCCTCGGGAGGGAGGGTCGAGTGGCCTCCTCGCCTCCTCCACCGAAATCTTCCCCCATCCTGCCTCCCTCTTCTAAGAAAAGTTCCCCAGGGACTACTTTGACCAAAGACCACTTTGAGCAGGGGCCACTCTGACCAGGCAACACTTGAGCAGGGACCACTTGACCAGGGACCACTTTGCCCAGTTACCACCATGGCCACGGACCACTTGACCAGGGAGCACTTGGACCAGGGACCACTTGGACCAGTTACTACTTTGACCATGGACTACTTGACCAGGGACCACTTTGACCAGGGACCACCTTGACCTGGATCCACTTTGACCAAGGAGCACTTTTGACCAGGGACCACTTTGACCAGCGGCCACTTGACCAGGAACCACTGTGACCAGGAACCACTTGACCAGAGACCACTTGAAAAGTAAAGGGCCTGAGACTGTTAGGAATTGTGAGAGCTGGAGTCCAAAACACCTGGAGGGCCAAAGTTTGCCCAGACCTGCTCTAGACCGGGGACTAGAGCAGACTGCTGGTTCACAGCCCCTCAGACTGTCAAGGGGCTGGATTATAGCTTGAAAAAAGCATGAACAAATACCTGTGCACGCTTACTTTTTAAACTTATTTGTAGTAAAAAAAAATGAAAGAACAATACAACTCTTAAAACAAAGAACAATTTTAACTGATGCAAACTTCCAAATTTTCAGTGAGAAGCGTTAGGCCTGCCTTTGGCTGCTGAGATAGTCAAGTTAATTAGGAATGCTGTTGTGTGCCTTCAAGTCATTTTAGACATAGGGTGACCCTAAGTCTAAAGTTTAGGGCAGTGGTTCCCAAGCTAGTGGTCCCAAGAACTAAAATATGGTCCATGGCCTCACCATTACTACATTGTTACAATGAGAGTGATTGATCTTGCAAAACCTCAAGGCTTATTTAATATGGTTTTCTGTGGACAGCAGATGGCAACTATTGGATGGCATATGTTCTGTATCAGAAACTAGAGCTGATATGGTCTATCCAATGCAATTTTCTGAATCAGCACCCCAAATTACCAAACTAAATCTAAAAGTTGACCAAAAACCATTCGTAACCCTTTTGGTACTAGGGTTGGAGAGTGGCCCATGGTCAAAGTGGTTCCTGGTCAAGTGGTTTCTGATCAAGGAAAGGTGGGGAACCACTGGGTTGGGGAAATGACCTTGGATGGCTGCATCTGGCCCACAGGCCTTAGTCTGGGGACCCCTGCTGTAGACAAAGTGGCTGGATGACTTTCCAAACTTTCCTTTCTGATAATTTTTGGAGTTCAGCTCCAAGATTCCTCTGTCCAGCATGGTTAAGAGAGTCCTTATAGTGCAGAGTTGGCCATGTTTCCCTTTTGGGCTCCATCTCCCAGAATCCTCCAAGCCAGCAGGACCCCCAAGAATTGAAATCCAAGCCTTTCTCAAGCCTTCTTATCCCTTCCAGAATGGGGGAAGTATTATAATGTGGATTATAATGTGTTCATTTTTCCCCCTTGGGTTGTTGTATTTGTTTGTGATAGTTGCTAAGTGTGCAGGAAAAGAAGGAGGAAGTTGTGGGAAGTGGAAATGTTCCAACTTGGCAACTTTAGGAAGAAAAAAAATGGAGGCACACATGTGAACTTGAATACTCACCCCTCCCCATGCAGACCCCAAATCAGAGAAACATGAGAATGCAACAACTAAAAAACATTGGAGGGGGCGATCTCCACCCCAAAAATATAACCTTATAAATAAGCAAACCCACATGTTAACAAAAAAAAGTCAGGTTCTGTCATATAGTTATTTTAGGATATTCTTTCTTGTGCCTTCTCTGTAACAGCTGTGGATGAAAGGAGGAAGGCAGGTTTGCTTACAGATGTTTTCATGAGCCCCATTTCACTGTATGAGCTCTAATGATAGTAGCAACATCCTATTTGAAGGTGTTCCAGTTAATTATTTTTATGTATCAATGATGTTGTGCAGGAAGCAGGATTCTGTCTGAATTTCCTTCAGGTTGAACAGATATGTGTCATCCAGAGTTAACGTTTGTTACATTTATTATCTTATTACTGATTCTCTGATTGACTGAAAGTTTTAAAATTGGTTTTCAAAATAGCAACCATAGCTTTTGCTGAATTGTTTTGTAGCTTAGCAGGCAAGGCAAAAGCACAGCTTCCTTTTCTTGATAGTATGTTGAGTGCATTGAAATGCTTTCAAAGATGATAGGATTTCATGCCTTGAAATTAGAGTATGCCATGAAATGTAGTGATATTACCTTGAATTGTTTATCAAAGATATCTGGGTTTTTAATGTCAGAATAGCACATACATCCTCAAGTACTTGGAAAAGCCACAGCTTCCATATACTAAGGTTGGGTCTTGGTGGTGTTCAACTGGCCTTTAGCAAACTTTCATTGTCTTTGGAAAACATTAAAATTGTAAAAATAAAGCAAAATAAAACAACAATGAGTTCAGTAAAAGTACCACTGAAAGCAATTAATTAAATTGGTTGTGTAGGCTGTGTATCTAGGAAGAATGACTACAGCTAGTTTTTTAATGTGTAAAAAAGATCATTTAGTGCGCTACAATTGATGTTCCCAATTTTCATTTTTTATCAGAATGATTCTCTGATACACTGCTGTCTAGAGAGAGTTTCTGTTATGTTTTCTTTAATTTGCATGGACACACATAACTGTGCTATTGTGAAATGCCTATTCAGTTTCAAAAAGCTCTGTGGAGGAGATGTTTCCACCAGATTGTATTCATTGATCACAATTTGGTATAGTTTTGTATACCAAAATACTACTGAAATTAAGTTTGCATGCTCTTGTTTCCTTGCCAAATCATGCCACATTGGCCCTTGTAATGTTTAAGAGACCACACCAGAACCTTTTACGCACACACGTACACACCAAACCTGACTTTTGCTACATACTGTGCCATATAGGCAGCTGTATACAGAAACCCTAATTATATTGCAGCTCTTTAGTCCACATTTATATTTAGATTCAAATGAGAAAGGAAAAACACACACACACAGAACTTCTTTGTTGGAATCCAATTTTTAGCATGTAATGATTTAGTGCCTCATAATATTCCCTATACAAATAATTACAAAACAAGCTATAAATATTTACAGTTTAATTCCGAGTTGGACCTGGACAATTGTCTCTGTTCTCAAATATTTTACTTCATGGGTTGAATTCAGTTGTTATGATCTTTGAGCCTTGGCTCTCTATCCATAAAATGGAAATGCTGAAGACATCTCTCTGGTATAAGATGTTGAACAAGTAGAGAAGGTGAATGCTTTCTGTGTTTAAAATATTATAAAGAGAAAAGTGGTACTCATATAGGCCCCTTTAAAAACAATGTTAACATTGAACCCAAGAGAGGAAATGTGCTTATTAATGCTAACAGCTCTCTAGGAAATACTTTCTTGGTACTTTGCAGAACACTATTGTTCAAGAAGTATATGTTTTAGATCTGTTTTATGTTGTGTAGAGAAGGCTATCCCATGTCTCTGATTCCAATTGCACATTGTGGTTTTGACTGTATTATTTGCGAAACATTAGTAAGTGGATCATTCTGACTTGCAACTGTCTATTTGGATGATCCAGCTGTAAAGGATTTTTCTCTATATACATTCAGTATATAATAAAGCAATAGTTGTACTGTGTGTAGGCATATAGATGTAACTTGGAAGGAAGGGTTGATGGATGCCCAGTGTCATACAGAACAATTGAATGCTGACCTCACTGCTGGCACTGTGCAGATAGCATGATATTGAGGACATCCATGATCACTTCTGTCACCCAGAATGTACAGATTCAATTGAATGCTTATGATGTGCAACCAAGGTCCAACCATTGCAACCAGTGCTTTGTGCAACATACAACCAACATATGATTGTATTTAGGCACTGAATGTTTTTGTTATTGTATTTAGGCATTGAATGTTTGCTTTTTTGTGACTGGAATCTGCCCTGAGTCCCTTTGGGAAGACAGGGCAGAATACAAATAAAGTATCATCATCATCATCTTGCAGGTGACCCATGCATAAGCTAAAATCAAATTGCAGATAGGCATTCGAATAAAAACAGTGTAATATGGAGAGCAAAAACATTGTGCCCCCACAACAAATGCATATTTTTAAAGAACACCATACAATAATATAAGCAACTGATGATGATTTACTACATCAGGAATAGAAATCATGCAGTTGTTCAGATGTTGTTCAATTGGCCTCACTGGCATGACCACTGGGGAGGAATGTTGGGAGCTGCTGTCAAACAATACCTTGAAATATATACATGAAGTAAACACATGCAATATTAACTCGAGAGGGAAACAGTACTGGGAGGTATAATATACTTTGAGCTAGTACATTCAAAATTTGTTGGAAGATCCTTTTGGTTATGCCCCACTGGAAATGTTTTACTTTCCTTGAAGTTAAAAGCAGCAACAATGAAAATGTTTTGTATTTGGTGAGTTGCTAATATCATGTATTTGGTAGAAAAAAATTCTACTCTGCAACCCAAATTTGTGAAATGTTGGTGATGGGGTTAATCCTGTTAATGCGTAACATAAAGAGCTGCCCATGCAGATTTTTATAGGACATGACATCTGCTTTCTAAGCAAAGAGGTGTGTAAAGTTGTTCATAAAAATGGATTGAACCAGAACTTGCAGCAACATCTCTCCTCCATGGCATGGATCCAGAGCTGATTTACCGTCCTGAGAGTAATTCTTATCTCCCTTTGGAAGAATGGAGCAAGTAGCTGTTTTGGGTTTTTTTTCCAAAAAAATAAATAAATGCTGGTAGTACCTATAATGTAACTGTGTGCAGTGAAGCATTTCCTGTGGCCTAATGAGAACTATAGACAAGTTCAACATCTGGTAGGGATTGTGAAAGGAACAAATGCTCGTTCTACAGTCTCCGGAACATA